AATTCAAACCGACCGCGCCGCTCAGCATCGCTGGCAGCGTTCCGTTGAGGTTCTCTTCGTTCATGGGTCCGTGCAAGCACCCTGTCATATTCCTTCTCCCTGATCGTGGCATGTCGCGGTTTTTCAAAAAGCCTCGGCACAATACTACCGCGCGGTCTATCAGCCACGACGTCCGCGGAAAGAAGCTTTTGCACTGCGTCATATCGTCTTTCCTCTGACAATGGGCCAACGGTATCACACGCTGCAAACGCTTACTCCATTGATGCACGTGGTTCTGTCTAAACTCCTGCCCCCTTTGCACCCACACGCCGAGGTATTCCTGCAACCACGATCGCCCATCCACGGCCCCTTTCTCCTCATTTTCTCTTGCAACGCAATCAGACGCGCACGGGGTCTGGTCGCTCACTGCTTCCGTGCTGCATCGTGCCGTCTCTCTTGCACCAGTAGTCCGTCCGCTGTGTAGGTACTCTGCCACTGCGACCAGATCCGACGTCTCGCGATACGCGGGCCACGCCCTTTCCACCTCCTTTTTCCTTGCCCTCCATCCCTCTACGCCTTGTACTCCTCCACCAGCCTCTTGAGCACATCAGGCGGCAGCCGGACCAGTTCGTGCAACGACGCGTGCTGGTGCAAGCATTGCACGAAAACCTGCACGTGCTAATGAAGACTGCCAGCCGACTCCTGAGCTTCAATGCTGCCGCACACCCCGCCCACTCGGCCCAAGCACCCGCCCACCGCCGTCAGGTTGCTGCCGAACAAATCCGCGCAATCACAATCTGGGCATTTCGGGCAATACCGCATCCCCAGCATGTACTCAAACACAAGGCCCACAATGACTCGAAACCCATCAACGCCAGCCAGCGGGTCCCGAGCGAGCACTGCCCTTCTCTCGTCCGACGCGGGCACGGCATCCGCCAACATCGCCAGAGACACTGCCATGTTCACGTCGTCGTCATCCTGTGCCCCCTCGGTGCCTGGTGCATTCTGGCCCGCCTGCTCGCGCCAGTGCCCCGTTACGCCATCTCCTGATATTTCTGGCGCGTGCGCCAACGAAGGTTCCCACAACCCACCGTGCGTGGGGCCGTGCCATTCCCGCGCAGCACGACGATTCACGGGGCCCTTTCTTCGCGACCGCGACACCGCACCATGACCAGGTTGTGCCGCTCGTCCGGAGACATAGTGAAAAATAACGGCACCCCATGGGCGATTCGAGCCGCATGTGTGTCGTATCTCATGAGCGTCCGCACCTCGTTCGCCCCTTCAATCTTCCGAGCGACCGACCGCACTGGCCCCTGCAGCCAATCGTCTCGCTATCGGGTCGAGCGACTGCACAAACTTTAGCTTCGAGAAATCTCCACGCACGTTCGTGGACTTCCCAGTGGATGGATCCTTGTATGTACCATACAAAGCATCGACGATGCTCACGGCTGCCTTCCAGTTCTCCTTGCGCATACCGGCATTCCGTCTCTCCGTCCTTTCCATAGTCCGCCAAGCGAATTGACCGGGCCGTATTCACGGAACTTTGAAACAAAACCGACGACAGCGTGAAGCCGAAGCGCCACTCACGCCGGAATTGAGACTCCACCCGACGCGTCATGATGCGCGCCCACAGAGCCAGTTCCACGCGGGGCGCTGCCGGCCCACGCCGGTGTCGCGCATTCTCTTGCCATTCCGGCATGTCCGGCATCCCCACTCCTCACCCGAAAACTGGTTCGGGGCGCTGAAAGTGGCAGAAAACCTGATCTTCATTTGTTCGATACGTCGGAAGTGACGCGCCCCCTCAAGAATCGCCTCCCGGATCAGAAATCGAAGAGGATCCAACTGTGGCGACAAAAACACACCAGGGGAGACCAATGAGGCCCGACAGCGTCGAAAAACCTCCACCTTCAATGTGGAGGCGGCCAAAGAATCTGAGCTGGATGGGACCCCGGAAAATCTGTAAAAGGAGGTAGGTCATGGCAAATCCGGTTCACATCTGTCCCCGAACTTTTCACGGGATCCATCCGGTCCATTTTTCCACTCTAGATCGATTCCCAGCGGTCCCGGGGCCCGAAAACGGCCCTCCGACGCCGAAAACCTGGGCTGGGCCACCTCCGACCCCCAGCCGGCTCCAGCCCCGGAGCATCGAGCGTCGATGGTGCTGGACACAAAAAAACTACGTAAACATAAACTTTCGCACGTCCGCGCAGATTTTTTGGATCGGCGCTGGACCCCCTTCCCCGGCGCCGCCCCTGGCGCTCCACGCGCCAGGGAGAAGGCGTCGGGGCGGACGAAAGGGTAGAATAGCAAAGAGTAGAATGAAGCATCAGCTCACGTAGATGGTTTCCTTGGCGCGTCCCGGGTACCGTGAAGCGCCCATGTATCGAGGAATGAGCCCAGCAGCAGGGCCGAAACCAGCTGCACGCAGCAGATTTCGTAAACCCCTTTTCCCTATCCTACACATTCGTCCGGCCCGAGGGCCCAACGCCGATCCAAGAAATCCGCGCGGATCTCCGAAAGTGTTAAGTCTGTGTCGTTTTTTGCTTCTTCGATGGTGCGCCGACGCCCGTGGCCTGCGACGCACCCCGCAACTTAGCACGAAGCAAACGGGTCCTAAGGGAAACGGGTCCTGGATCCCAGGCAAGGCCCTCTGCATCGCCATCGACATCCGAAATCGACATCCCAAATCGAAATCGGAATCGACCTCGGAATCGGGACACCCGAACGGACTCGGACCAAAACCGGAATCCGAACAGCACATCGAAATCGGATCGGCTCGGATCGGAACCGGGCCTGCCAGGGCGTTCCCCCAGGACCAGATCTCCAGCCTGACTGCTTCCGGGGACCGCGTCTCGAAAAGAATCGAGAGATAGGAGGTCAGGGATGGGGCGGTGGCGCGAAACGGGGAAGCCGGGGCTCAAGTAGCCGACGATGGAACCAAAACGCCCCAAGAGGCCCCCAAGACCGCCCCAAGACGGCCCGAGAGGCCTCCAAGAGAACCCGAAGACAACCCACCTCCTCCTCCACCACCTCCTCCTCCTCCTCTTCCTTTTCCTCCGCCCGACCGACCCGAGATCCGCCCAAGACCTTCCAAGCCCCTAATCGACGTCCATCACGCGACCATTCGTGTCTCCACGCGCTCCCCGTGATGATAGCGCCGTCCAATTTGTCGGCTGCGGACCATGGAGTGGTTCAAGGGGTCGGCGGATGTGGCGTAAGCCTGTAGAATCAATCTCACAATCGATCCCACAATCGATCTCACATTCGGTCTCGCTATTGATTTCACAATCGATATCACAATCGAGCTCGCATTCGATCTGACTATCGATATCACTATCAAACTCACTATCGATCTCATTATCGATTTCACATTCGGTCTCACTATCGATCTCACTATCGATATCACAATCGATCTCACAATCGATCTCGCATTCGGTATCACTATCGATCTCACTATCGAACGCACTTTCGATATCATGATCGATCTCACATTCGGTCTCACTATCGATCTCACTATCGATATCACAACCGATCTCACAATCGATCTCACATTCGGTCTCATCATCGATCTCACTATCGAACTCACTATCGATCTCATTATCGATCTCAATCGATCGATCTCACAATCGATCTGACTACCGATCTCACAATCGATCTCACAATAGATCCCACAATCGATCTCACATTCGGTCTCACTATTTGTCTCACTATCGATATCACCATCGATATCACAAACGATCTCCCATTCTGTCTCACAATCGATCTCACTACCGATACCACTATCGATCTCACTATCGATATCACAACCGATCTCACAATCGATCTGACATTCGGTTTCACGTTCGATCTCACAACCGATATCACTATCGATCTCACTATCGATCTCACATTCGACCTCACTATCGATCTCACAATCGATCCGCATCACCATCATCAGCATCATCGGGACACCATCAACACATCATCATCATCATCATCATCATCATCATCATCATCATCATCATCATCATCAGCACCATCATCATCATCATCACATCATCATCATCATCGGGACACCGACGGGGCACCGACGGGACACGGGCGGGACACCGCGGGCCCCCGGCCGCCCGGAAGGGAGTCATTTGGTCCGGCCGCGCCTCAGCCACACGGGACACCAGCGGGACACTGGCGGGACACCGCGGGCCCCCGGCCGCCCGGAAGGGAGACATTTGGTCCGGCCGCGCCTCAGCCACAGGAGACTTTCTCTCGCCCGCTCACGCAGCTTCGCCTCGCCCGCCCGCACGGCACGCACGAACACGAAACCGAAATCGATTTCCCGGTAGGGGGGCTCTCCGTTCCACTTCGATCTCACCCCCTCACCTCCGACTAGTATTACTATTCGTGATGTTATTATTCTTATTATAATCATTCTTACTTTCATTATGCGAATTGGTATTCCTGTTAGTAGTAGTCGTTATAGTAATTGATATTACTAAGACTATTATTATGACTAGTATGTCTCGTCGTATTGTTCGTCTTGGCATTGTTAGTATTCTAATTCATGTGTGTAACAGGTTTGTTGTGTGTTGCTAGCACTATGTTATTAGTGCTATCCGTTTAAGTATTCGTTTCACTATTCGGTACTACTATTATCAATGATACTGATGGTGTTCCTGCCACGATGCTATGACTAATAGCAATGACATAAGTCTTCTTACTCGTATTATGATTCATAATATGATTACTGGTAATAGAATGCCTTGCGTTCTTACTAGAACGGTTATTATCCTTACTCGTAGTGCTACTAGTCTGATTAATATTGATATTATTCCTATGTCTGTTATTACTATTCCTCCTCCTCCTCCTTATCCTCCGACTCCTCCTCCTCCTCCTCGACTCCTCCTCCTCCTCCTCTTCCTCCTCCTCCTCCTCCTGCTCCTCATACTCCCTTCCCTCCCCCTCCTCCTCCTCCTCCTCCTCCTCTTCCTCCTCCTCCTCCTCCTCCTCCTCCTCCTCCTCCCCCTCCTCCGCCCCCCGATCTCCGGAAGGTCTGGCTCCCGATGGCCCCGAGGGCTTTGCTCAGCAGCCCCGAGACGACCCCGTCCTCGAAGTCCAAGGGCGCATTGCTGACCACGCCGTAGGCCTGGAGCCCGAGCACGGCGAGGCTGTACCCGAGAAGCTGGGTGGTCGTGATTGTGTGTCCCTGGAGGATGCAGCTTCCGGCCACGATCAAGAAGTCCTTCAGGACCCATCCCTCCTTTCCCTCCCTTCCCGCCTCCTCATCCTGCTGCCCCACCCCTCTTGATGATAAAGGACCCTCCACTGTAGCACCACCAGACGTGTCCGTAGCCCGGGCTGGGCGTGTTGCGTGAGACTTCGCTGCATCTTGCGATCATTCAAGTCTAAATCTCAAGTATACTTGCGGACAACAATGCTTTCGCTGGCACCCGTGCACATTCGGATGCCAACATGTTCTTCTAAACGCGATTCACGCTGTCGACTTCGCCAAATTCCACGGCCCGAACTCCAATGTGTGCAACAGTTGAACGGTAGGAGAGAGGCTCCTCCTTAAAAATTGTTTTCCGAACCTTGTACGAACATAATTATGAAACCATGCAACCTTTACACGGAATGAGGGCAGGTCTTGTCCCAGACGAGGATACTGCGTGGCCTTTCCACGAAGGTCTTTCATAAAACGAGGCGTCGCCTGCACTGCAAGCACATCGGGCGCTCGTCGATCAAAGCGGGCTCTGCCCGCAATTGCACGGAATACTTGCAGGAACGTGTGAGGAGGGGACTTGGGGACGGCAGCGCAGCATCGTTCATTCATCCTGCCTTCACTCTGGTCCTCCTCCTCCTCCTCCTCGTCCTCCTCCTCCTCCTGCCGCTCCACTCCCTCGTCCTCCTCCTCTTCCTCGTCCTCCTCCTCGTCCTCCTCCTCCTCGTCCTCCTCGTCCTCCTCCTCCTCCGCCTGCCGCTCCACTCCCTCGACCTCCTCCTCCTCCTCCTCCTCCTCGTCCTCCTCCTCCTCCGCCTGCCGCTCCACTCCCTCGTTCTCCTCCTCCTCCTCCTCCTCCTCCTCCTCCTCCTCCGCCTCCTCCTCCTCCTCCTCGTCTTCCTCCTCCTCCCCCTCCCACTCGTCTTCCTCCTCCTCATCATCATCATCCTCCTTCTCCTCTCCTCCTACTTCGCTCCTCCTCCTCCTCCGCCTCCTCCTCCTCCTCGTCCTCCTCCTCCTCCTCCTCCTCCTCCTCCTCCTCCTCCTCCTCCTCCGTCTCCTGATACGATGCCGCATGCCTGCCTGTCCACCACGCAAAATACAGTCATCGTGGCACAAGGACCTCGACCTGTAGCACAGCATGGCAGACGTTGGAAGGGTTTGCCACACGGCTCGAAGCGTCCACTTGGAGCGGGTCGTAAGCCGTAGAAGTCAGAAGGGGCCCAAATAAGAGCCCGAGCCCGAACCCGAGCCCGAGCTCGAGTCCAAGCTCGATCCCGAGCCGCGGCCACAGCCCGAGCCCGAGCCCGAATTCGATCCCGGATCCCGGGCCCGAGCCCGAGACCGAGGGGAAGGGGGCTCAAATCCCGCCAGCCCTCTGGGCTGAGGGGATTTGAAGAAGCCTTTCGTCATTTCCCCCTTTCGGGGGGTCTGTCAGTTTTCCTTATCAATATACCACCCCCTCCCCCAACCGACCAGGGGCGAACCCGGAACAATGACAACACCCGCCCACCATCCCTGTTCAAAACAATACATAATTCACTTTGCGGTACACATCTGGGTCATGCACGAGCACCAATCGATCACTCTGCAGTGTTCTCTTTGACAGGCAGACGGGGGGGAACGGCATATTGCCTGCTGCAGCGCGCAAGCCCATGACCCCTGCCCAAAAATACGAAGTACGCTCTGCGGCAAGCTCCAGACCATGCTCGGGCACCCCACGCTCACTTTCTGCACTGCTGCACGAAAAGGATATTTTGGGGGTGCCCTGGCGTGCACGGCGCACCGCTCGGGCGTCGCGCACCCGTCTGGCGCCTGCAGTGGTGCCCGATGATTGCCGGTGGCGGCCCACGCTCGTGCTGATGCTCCGATGCTGCTCGTGCGGTGGGAGGGCGGGCGGAAGCTGGCGATATACCGACCAGCCATAACTGGGGGAGCTCTGGCCCTTACCCCCCTGGGGAAACCCATCGCATCGACGAGCTCTCGAGAGGGGTGTCGAAATCGATGGGTCCCCCAGGGGGGCACTGACCACAGCTCCCCCAGTTGTGGCTGGCCTGATATAGCCGTCGTCCGGCAACGACAGCTCGACCCCTCCTCTGCACCCCTCCCTGGCTCTGGACGCTCACGCTCACCGTTGCCGGCCTCTTGCTCCACTGGACGCTTACGCTTCCGTTCTCCCAAAAACTTGCCTGGAAGTCGTCTCTGGATGGGCTGGCGGGGATGCGCGGGGCGTCAAGAACACGGCGGCCCCCCGGCGTGCGGGCAGAGAAAAAGCGGGGCGGCGCTGGCCGTTTAGAACATCTGGAGGGCGCGGCGAAGACAGGGAGCAGCATAGACTGGTAGGCGATGGCAGGGGAGAAAGGAAAGGTCCCCCATACGCCCTAAGGCGCGTCGACGCTGTACGCGCTCAGGTCAACGCGAAGAACTGGTCGATCAGTAAGTGTACGCACCCCATCAGCACCACATATGCTCGAAGAGCGTGTGGGTGTAAATGTTTGGCCCACCCCGACCGGGCCCCCCGATTTTCCGAACGTGCATGTCGTTCACGTATCCGTTCGCGTATCCCCCCCATACGCCATAAGGCGCGTCGACGCTGTATCAGGCCAACGCGGAGAAGTGGTCCATCAGCAAGTGTACGCACCCCATCAGCACCACATATGCTCGAAGAGCGTGTGGGTATAAATATTTGGCCCACCCCGACCGGGCCCCCCGATTTTCCGAACATGCATGTCGTTCACGTATCAGTTCGCGTATCCCCGCCAGGTCAGCTCCAGCCCTCTCGCACCAGCTCAGCACAGCTCCCCCACAGCTACAGACGGCCCAGGATGGCTATGGGTGGCTCCAAGACGACCCAAGATGTCCAATAAGTCCCCAGTGCAACCCAAGCGGCCCTCCATGGGGGCCCCCACGTGACCGAATCGTTGATTGTTCTGGCGTGTTTTAGCTAGTTTGGCATTCTCCCCCTTTCAGGCTTCTGACAGCCCAAGACGGCCCAAGAGGCCTACAAGATGACCCCGAAAAGGCCCCAGAGGCTCCTCAGAGGGCCCTAACACGGCCCAAGAGGACCCCCCAAGATGGCGCGATCGAGGCGGGACGTCCTTCAGGACGCCAGCGAGGGAGAAGCCGAGGCCGCTAGCAGTCTGGATGGCGAGGTAGATGACCACATTCAGCAGGAAAGCCATGAAGGCGTTGGCGACGAAAATCCCGATACCGACCTCACCAATCATCTTGCTGTTGCTGCTGCAGCTTCTGCGTGTCCTCCCCCTCCTCATGCTCCTCCTCCACGTCGTCCTCCTCCTCCTCCTCGTCCTCCTCCTCCTCCTCCTCCTCCTCCTCCTCCTCCTCCTCCTCCTCCTCCTCCCCCTTCTCCTCCTACTCCTCCTTCTCCTTCTCCTACTCCTCCCCCTCCTCCTCCACCACCTCATCCTGCTGGTCCTCGTCCTCGTCCTCCTCCTCCTCCTCCTCCTCCTCCTCATCATCATCATCATCATCACCACCACCACCACCATCATCATCATCAGCAGCAGCAACATCATCATCATCATCATCATCATCATCATCAGCAGCATCAGCATCATCATCATCCTCATCCTCATCATCATCCTCATCATCATCATCATCATCAACTTCATTATCATCATCATCATCATCATCATCATCATCATCCTCGTCGTCATCATCATCCTCTCATCCTCGTCCTCACCCTTATAGGCGTCGTCCTCCCATTCCCGAGGCTAACGCTGCGGGCAGAACAAGGTGAAGCCTCGGCACCCTCGCCTCATCCTCCTCGTCTTCCTCCTCCTGATCATCATCATCAGCATCATCATCATCATCAGCAGCAGCATCATCAGCAGCATCATCCGCATCATCATCAGCAGCAGCAGCAGCATCATCATCATCAGCAGCAGCAGCATCACCATCATCATCATCATCATCATCATCATCAGCATTATCAGTATCATCAGCAACAGCATCATCAGCAGCATCATCCTGCTCCTCAACATCACCATCATAATCCTAAGCATCATCATCCTCATCATCATCATCATCATCCTCAGTATCATCATAATCATCAGCAGCATCATCGTCGGCATTATCAGCATCAGCATCCTCATCATCAGCAATAGCATCATCCTCAGTATCATCATCAGTAGCATCAGCATCAGCAGCATCATCATTATCGTCAGCATCAGTATCATTAGTATCGTCATCGTCATTATCAGCAGCGTCATCACCATCAGCATCAGCATCATCATCAGCACCATCATCATCATCAGCATCGTCAGCCGCAGCAACACCACCATCGTCAGCATCATCTTCAGTTGCGTCAGCAGCATCATAGTCATCAGTGTCGGCATCATTCTCATCAGCACAATCATAACCATCCTGTCAGCATCATCAGCATCATCATCGTCATCGTCATCAGCATCATCAGCAGCAGCAGCCTCATCATCATCAGCTCCATCATCCCATCAGCAGCATCATTATCATCATCACCGCTACCACAATCAACATCATCATCACCCGCATCATCATCATCATCATCATCATCATCATCATCATCATCATCATCATCATCATCATCATCGTCATCGTCATCGTCAGCAGCAGCATCATCAGCAGCATCATCAGCATCATCAGCAGCATCATCACCACAACCAACAAGAGCATCATCACAAGCTGCATCATCATCATCATCATCATCATCATTATCATCATCGTCAGCAGCAGCAGCAGCAACACCAGCAGCCGCATCATCATCATGATCATAATCATCACCATCATCATCTTCATCATCATCACCCCCACCATCATCATCATCATCATCCTTATCATCAGTATTACCAGCATCGTCATCATCATGGTAATCATTGTCGTCGTCGTCATCATCATCAGCATCAGCATCATCATCAGTATCATCATCACCACCACCACCATCATCAGCAGCAGCAGACGCAGCATCATTATCGTCCTCATCATCCTCGTCCTCGTCGTTATCATCCTCGCCATCTTCCTGAGCCTCATCCTCATCAGCACCATCGTCATCATCGTTATCCTCCTTTTCGCCTTCATCATCAGAAGCAGCATCGTCATCACAATCGTCCTCATCTAATTCGCCATCTTCCGAATCCTGCTCCTCCCCCTCCTCCGACCCCTTCTGATCTCCTTCTCCTCCATGCAGGGAACAAGAAAGATCTAGCCTATAGAAAATCGGATACCCCTGGCCGAATCATCGTTTCGCAGTGGCATGGTCTTACAGTGGTTTCGCGTACGAATGTGTTCGACTGTCGAGTGGTATGACAGTCGAGCACGGTCTTCCATGAGGATGGTCTGATCGATGCACTCGTTAGGTCCGTTCTTTCTCTCTCTCTCTCTCTACCTATCCATTTTTCTCTCTCCCTCTCGTGTCTAGAAGCCTCCCAAATGGAGTTCGAGGAGATGGGGTCGGAGGATTGCGCCACATCGTCGATGCCAGGGAAGCATGGGCGACGTCCACGATGGATCGGCGAGATTTGGGTGGCGAGAAGCGGGCTTCCGATCGAGCCGCATCGCCGATGCATCTGCGATGAGGCTCGATCCTCCGACCCCATCTGGTATAGCCCCATTCGGGAGGCCTGGGTTGTTGAACCCAAGCCCTCGAAACGATGATAAGCTGACTGGTGACTGGCCTGGATATCTGTAACAACATGATGGTGAGCATTACGCGTGGGTCTTATGTGAAGCGCCCGTATGCACTGAGACGATCGCGGGCGGGAGCTGTCTACTGTCTTGTCCTGGGGATCTGGAGCAGGGCAAGTTGAGACAACGGCAACTCAAAGTCTGCTCCCGATCGCTGCCAGGGTACAACCACACCCGTTTCCGAGGTGCGTCCAGCCGTGGCGACGAAGGGGTCCCCCGAAGGCCAACCACCATGGTCGCAATGCGCCCTCCTCTAAGGTACTGCGCGCGAACACCTGAAATGCCGATGTTGCGCTAACAATAGGCAAGCGCGTTCCGCTACTTGCAAAGTCACTACTCGCACATGGCCTGGATCAGCCGCGAAGGATTCACGATAAATGACATCGAGGCGAACGTGTGTTTTTTGGACGCTTGCGAGTAGGCACTTTGCGAGTAGTGGAGCGCGCTCGGTGAAACAAGCGGAACTGGCGCACATGCGAATCCGTTGCTGACGGGCATGGGGGAACGAACAATGACAGAGACATAAAAACTCGGAGGTCCGCGCGGATTTCTCGGATCCACGCGTGGATCTCACAGTTTTTATGCTCATGTCATTCTTCGTTCCCCTGAGGGCAACATCGCGGGGAAACTGCAGCGTCGTCGCGTCGATTCGACCCTGAACCTGAGCTCCGTGGGCCTGCGGAGCCGGATGCGGCCAGATCGCGTCGTGGCGGCTTCGGCGCTGGCTCCCGACGCCACGTGGATCGTTCAACCCGGAACTGTCGGCGACGTTTCGATCGCCAGATCGTTGCAGCTCGGCCGGTTCTGGGCCACTGCCGGCGTTCAGCCTTGAACGCCCGCGGCGGGGTCGACGCCGCGTCGGCACGACACTAACCTCCGTACACGGTACAGGTCTGGCTGGATGATCCTTGGACAGCCATCATCCTGATGGGAAGCAACAGCTTGAGTCTGGGCACATGCCCATGTACCTGGTTCTCGGAATCGGTTCGAGCAACATCCCCTTTCGTTTTTTTAAATTCGTCGCGGCCACTTTCGCAGTCCAATTCTGGAATTCGCATACGATCGCCAGGCCGTGGCCATATCAGGTGTACATCGGGAAATCTAGTAAAACTGTGTGGGATGGATGGCACTAGCATGCTAGCAACGCGAACAATTTGAAATTGACTGTCCCGTTGTAACGAACGGTGAGGGCGTCTTCGCCGGGTTCTACCATTCGCACGTGTCGCACAAGGCGCCGAATCGCACAGAGCGCCGCCCTTCGAAGAGTAATGTAGGTAAAAACTGGATGTCGCGGGATCATCTCGAACTTGAAAACAATTATGTGCCATGTAATGGTTCTCAACTCATGCTTGCCAACCCTCTCAGCAAGACTTGCCATGCGATGCGGAATCGACATCGGGCTCGCACCAACACCAAGGAACTGTAACCGGCCAGTGCCATTTTCAGGAATCATGATGACAGAGAGCGTGTCGATTGGAAGCGTCGGCCATCTACTACCTTGGAGATCTCGCGTCGGCCTCAACGATATTTGGCGCGCCATCGGTTCGAATGTATTGCTTGCTGGTGGTTAACACGGCGTTCGGTCTATGTGGCTGTCATTGTTGTCTAGATGATCCCAACTCGCTCACGCGCCACATTCTTGCAAAACTTGTCAGCTCTAATTGGTGGATTCGTCAAGCACGCGTACGCATGTTGCGCATTCACTGGAACAAAGGGCGTTCCTATTTGAGCTTCCCTCCAAGGGCAAGGTCTGCGATCCACAGCGCTGTCACAGAAATGCTGCTTCAACACATAATTTGTTGCGCAACCACACTTATAACGTCGAAAAGCCTAACAAATACGCATTATAGTTGCCGCAATCATCTTGGTCGGGCGTGTTACCGGCAACGCGGGTGTGACAGCAATGAACGTCATGGGTTAGTGGAGATAGATGGTCAAAGTCATCGATCTGCAGTACCCACCCCGTTTCCAATCGGGTGGAACTCAAAATCGCGACTGCGGACTCGCAGGATCACGTCTCACGACAGTTCAGGTGCGCAAAACGAACGGCTGTTACTTAAAGGGTGCCCCAAAATGCTGGATACACGCCTTTTCCGCGTACGCGATCTTGAGACGGTCATGGATCACGTCTGTTGGACTATCTGTCTGGTTCGGCAACGTGCACGGCACATCAGATGGGTTTGCTCAGGGCAGCCATCAGGCACAAGCCCTAGCCAACAGCTTCGCTTCGTCACAAGAAGACGTCTAACGACGGAGTCTACGTGAAAACGATCTGGTTAAGATTAACAAAGTAGTGCTGATCTTGCGCTGGATGAATGATCGATTGAGTGCGTTGCGCGCCAACGTTCGTAGTCCTTCAAATCCCAGCACGATCACAGACAGGCGTCGTTTTGATCACAGATGCAAGCTTCGTCAGAGTTTCGCCAGTAAAACCAAGGCCAGTCTTTGTACTAGTTGTGGAGAAGGTTTGGTCAGCGAACACATCCGTCTGCTAGCAGCACATACTTTAATTTGCCTTCACATGGTCAGCCACTCGCTGTGTGCAGGGTAAGCCATGCATCCTCAATACGAAATGAGAGGGCCAACTCGGGATACCTCCTTGAGCAGACGGTTCGCGTGATCGACGGGGATATCGGAATTAACTTCGAGATCGGAGAACCCCTGGCACAGCGCTGTGAGGTGAGACTGTCCAGGTACTCGTCAGAGCAGCGGTTCGAAAGCTGCGCGAGCGTATGCCATGGCTTCGCATACTGCCAGGTATGTGAAACGCTTATGTTCCTGCTAGGAGCCCCAAGAATAATGCTGCAGTGATTAAACTTTGCCAACGTGGAGGCCATAGCGCACGGTTCTTCAAGAGTGGGCAAGAATGAGTTCAGAACGTTCAGCAGAACATACCCGAATCTTTATGAGTGCTTCACGAACCTTCTCAGTGACATGTTCTCCTGACACCTCTTTTGATCTACGGCTGGCGTTGGAAAGATGCCGTGCAACATCCATCTCTGAAAAGCACGCCATCCCTGTGAGATCCCCCCGGGAGGGCACCTGCCGACTACACGCAAGAATGACCCTGGGTATGAATGACCCTTGACACGCGGCTTTTGGGGGGCCGCGGGAAGACGCTACTGCTGCTTCGCGTTCGGCGATCGGGGGATCCCATCGGGCCCGCAGCAAAGGTCACTCCAGCGAAGGGTCACTCCTACATCTAGTGGAAGCTCCTGCGCACACCATCAGCAGCCGCCGCGGGCCCGCCGGCGGGGCCGTCCGCGCCACATGCTCGAGGCGTGACCCGCCCCACTGAGCGGCCTCGGTCCCCTCCCGCCCCCTCTTTCAGCCGTTCCCTCTGCTTTTCCCCTCCTCCTGCATGGTGGCACGATTCGCTACAACAGTACCCCCGTTCAGGTTGCCCTTCACCAGCGCAGTTACTCTGCCTATCCGCCGACGCAACAAAGAACAAAAAAACAAAAACAAAAACAAAACAAAAATCCTTCTGTGCACAGCATCCCCCTGCTGGGGCTCCTCCGTTGCACGCTGTCCCCAAGAGGAGGTCCCACGGTGGAGCACAGCGTGCAACATAAGCGGGCGCCGGCGGCGCCACACCGCACTCTCCGCCTCTGCAGCGCTGCCCGTAGGTCGGGCATGTCCTCCTACAGGCGGATTATTGGAGAGAGCAACAAAAATAGGCCAAAAATACTCCAGAGTTGTCAAAAAATAATCAAAAAATCGACCCCTGATGATTTTTGACTATTTGGGAGTATTCCCCCTGCAGAGGGACATGCCCGACTCAACGCTACACGTAGTCAGATGCTGACGGGCCAGCGGCACTGCGCGCGGATCGTCAGGACTCTCGCGTGCTCCGCGCTCGTCCGGGAGGATGGGAGGGCTGGACTGCTCCTCCTCCTCCTCCTCCTCCTCCTCCTCCTCCTCCTCCTCCTCCTCCTCCTGCTCCTGCTCCTCCTCCTCCTCCTCCTTCTCTTCGGCAGCCACGGCAGCGCGCGCGAGCTTCGGGCAGGGTAGGCTTCAGGGAGGACCGCCCCAAAGCAGAATCGGACATCCCGAGCCGACGCTTCGTCCTGACATCCTGTCACACGGCTTTCAACGATCCCTGCGCTTCAAGCTTCCCGGCATGTGAGGCGGATTAAAGCCCTGGGGCCACTCCCACCACTCCCACAGCAAGGTACCTTTCCGCCCATCCCCCTCCGTAAAAGAAGCTTGAACAAGCGGGAGTTGGAGTTTCCGTGAAAGTGGAGGTGGCCTAGGCTGGGGCAAAAAACTGGCAGGAGCTGACACGAGCCCGAAACAGTTGCCATGAGGTCGCCGCCGGGCAACGGCCAGGCCTGGAAAAGAGTAGAAGGGCTGGACCCAGCCACTTGTTCAAGCTCTCCTATCCGCCTGCTCGTCCACCCTCCACGCTCCCAACGGGAGGAATGCCGACCTGACCGATCCGCTCCCTGTCGAAGGCGGACTGGTCAAAGAAGAGGGCAGAGACAAACAGCAACACCGCGACCATGGGGGCAAAGACGGCCACCGAAGACAGCGGGTTCAGCTTGTACCCGTTGGCCTGGAGAGAGAGGCGGATTGGAAATGAGGGGGGGGGAGGAGGACGGAGGGGTGGAGACAAGAGGAGGAGGAGGAGGAGGAGGAGGAGGAGGAGGAGGAGGAGGAGGAGGAGGAGGAGGAGGAGGAGGAGGAGGAGGACGAGAAGGAGCAGCAGGAGGAGCAGGAGGAGGAGGAGGACGAGAAGGGGCAGGAGGAGGGGGAGGGGGGCGAGGCCAGAGGTGGGATCAAAGGGGAAGGGAGAGAGAGAGAGAGCGAGAACAACAAAGAAAGAGGAGGAAAAAGAAGCGGAGGGGAGGGAGGAGGAGGAGCAGGAGGAGATAAAGGTAAAGGGCGCGTTGGGGCAGTGCCCGAGTGTCTCGTCTACACACAGGGGCCCGTGTGCGAAATGGAAAGCAGGGCGAGGGTCCTTCCTGGAAATGCTTACGCCGTCCAGGTGGGGCACTTGGTGCCGTCAAGCGAGGAGTGCGAGCAGTGAGAAGGACAAGAGACGAGAGAGGACGGAAGAGGAGGGAACATAGGAAGCTAGAGGGGTAGGCAATGGGGTGGGGATCGGGAAGGAGGCGGAAAAAGGGAGGAGAAGGAGAAGGGTGGAGAAGAGAAGAGGATTTGGGGGCTGCGCTACCGAAGACAGCGCGTTCAGAGTGCACCCTGGGGCCTTTAGTCGCAGCTCCAGGATGTTGATGCGCAGGCCTTCTGCGATCAAGGCCGAGAC